ATTTAAAAGAGTTGATTTTGTATTATTTAATAAAACAAGAAGATAACACATGAACACCACCATTAATCTCTTCATATGGTCCATTATTTGTTCATTATGTTCAAATGGCTGAGCTGCTAAATAGAGTTGGTCAAAAAACCACTTCAAGCTTGGTTCTATTTCTTGGAGCAATCTTTGTATTTCATCAAAATCGTATATAGGACCTTGATGGCTCTAGTGAAATCAATCTTTTCATTTACCTCTTCCTCTTCCGCATCTGTGGTTTTTACTCTCCTAGGTTCTCTTTTTAAAGGATTTTCTACAAAATTCATATAACAAATGTTACATAAAACAACACGTTACCTTCAGTAAGTTGTTGTTCTCAGCTTCTTTCCATTTATTGCCTTTTGTTGACGAAATTTAGCTGAATCAGTGGTTTTACATTCTGTGCAATGTTTAATTTCACGCAATTTTTCTTCAAGTAAATCGTATTATGAAAGTTGTGGGATTCAAAGGGATTCAAAAGATATGATAACAACAAAGTGTAAAGCTTCAAGTTTGTGTAATTATTTGCACATGATTTATTGTAAGAATGGGCTACATGATACCCTTGTAAAAGTATTTTAAACTGTATAAAAAAAATTGAAATCAATTGTGAAAATCCATTCCTTATATAGGACGTTCTCTCCTGTTTAGTCGCGGGACATTGCAGATCAAATGTCATTCAATATAAACGTTACATGAATAAAATTATTATCATCCACTTCAAAAAAAAATTTCTCCATTTTCATGTAGCAAGCGATTTTTAACCATAATAAAAATTTTAGAATCAGACTAGAACTTTCTAACAACAGTTAAAAGAAAAGGCTAGCTTAAATATTGGTTATTCTACACCAGGTCAAAGTGTTTCTTTTTTTCACACTTATTTTAAGATTATCACTCAACTAGTATGCAGACTAAAGTGAATTCAGCAGCAACAATTGTGCCAAAATGTTCCCTACAAAGTCGCTTATAACCACTTGGAAGGTTGTGTTAGAAAAACTTTGTTTTTAATTATAAGGGATTGATTTATAGTTATTTATAAGGTTATTTATTAATTTATTTAGAATTTTAAAATAATAATAATAGTAGTAGTAGTTAATTTATTGTTTGATAATTATGAATATGAAGAAATTTATTTATTAATGATAGACTTTGACATAGTACATCAAGCAAGGTTTGAATATTTTGGAACAAAGCCCTAAAGGGTTGTGGTGGTAGTGATGGTAATGATAGTGGTAGTGGTGGTAATGATGGTGGTGGTAGTGATAGTAATGGTGGTGGTAGTGGTGGGAATGATGGTGGTAGTGGCAATAATCATAATGCCATGGATACAAGTTGGTAATAAAAAAATATTATTATCATCATTATAACTTGCCCAATATAAATATATTTTGTTAATTTATTCCAAATGATCTGATAATTAAATTCATTAAATTGAATAATAATATACCAAATACAAATAATTTCTATTTTCTAAAAATAAATAATTAATAATAATAAAAAAATGATTGCATAATGGATTGTATACTGTCAGATTGTCAGATCATTCAACTTTTGCAACCTTTGGAAAAAGAAATAAATATATTAATATAATCACATATACCATTTAATAATAGCAGTAACATCAGTGCTTGTAATCTTGAAATAATTGTCATCTTCTGGTCAATTGATATGATTTTAACTCAAATTTTACATATTTATTTACATTAATATATAAATGTATAAATAAAACCATCAATAATCATTAATAAAATTTTCTTTTAACCTACATATTACATCTCCATCAGATCCTGCTAATGTATTAATAAATAAATACCTTTTAATTTAATCATTACACTTCTAAATATATATATAAAATGGATGAAATAAAAATTAGTAATAGTATGAAACTAATCTTTAAAATATTAAAAAACATAGCCATTCTCGAAAAGAGTCTGTTACACAAATTTGTTTTGTTTGAAAATATTAAATAAATGCAATCTTCTATTTCAACCAGTAATGTATATTAATATATTAATATTATTAGGTAAAATGTTTATTACACTCACCTGCCAAAAGTATCCGGATACTTTTGGCAGGTGAGTGTATTATTATGAAAATAATCTTTAAAAAGCAAATTTGAAGTTAATACTTTTCTATAAACAAATTATGTAATTTAAAAAAATAAACATTTAAAGGTTGGAAATTAGAACTTAACTATTGCATTTATTATTATTATAGAACTTATAGAACTGGTAGTCAAACTTCATGTTAAGATTATCGCTTAGCGGTATTTGTTTACCCTGGCAAAAAATACATCAAAATAAAGGTTTTTTCATATATTTGTTATTTTTTATGATTCAAGTAACAACTTGTTTAATTCAGGCAAGTTTGTGTATGAAAGCATGATTTTTTTCTTCATTTTTTCATATAAAATTCCGTGTTGATCAAAGAATTTTTATTAGAGTGACACTTGACCCCCCTGTAGATCCGCAATGTCCTGCGACTGTTATTTTAATATTATATTTTGTGAAACTACTGTGCCACACATTGCGCAGTATCACACGTACAATTATTCATATTCATATTTCTATATTTATAAATATTAATTATTGTTTTGTAATGCTCAGTTGACCCAAATATTTATTTTACATTAATAAGCATATTTTATTGGACAGATTAGAGTAAATATTTGTAATACCCCAAGAGGTATAAAAAGACTTGGTTTTAGACCAAGTCAGAATCATGTTCATAACAATCTTTTAATTATTGATCTAATAATTAATACTTCCTAACACATTGTAATAATAATATTATTGTCGCTAATAAAACACATAACATATTTTACCCTAAATAATAATCTCTAATTAATTTAATAAACCACCAAAGGGAAACCTTTGCTGCCCATAGCAGTTAACCCATATCTTAACTATCAAGAGACATCTCAAGGGGACGCCTTTGGGAGATAATTACATATATAGAACCTAGGGACCCTCTTATCTGAAAAGATAAGAGTTATATTTTTATTAATTTTTGACTGTAAGTCAACGAGTAGGCTGTGTGTCATATATATAAATAAAGGAATTTGACTGTAAGTCAGCGGGTAGGCTGTGTGTCAAACAATAGAATCAACCGTAAGTCAGCGAGGAGGCTGTGTGTTGAGCTATAAATAACCTATTAAGTAGGAAACTCGGATTGCACGCTCGCAGTAGTATTTTATGCCTATAGATATAAAGAATATTGTAAATCTGAAATTGCTTGCCGAAATTGTTTTTTTCAAAATCCATTTTGGCTAACATCCTTAGACCTACTATAAAAATCCTATAATGTGAATGATGCTAATAGCAATGTTGAAGAGAAATCAGGGAGCAACTTCCTATTGATGTTTCTTCAAAAGAGAATAGAGCCAAAAGATCTTTCATCTTTTAGCAAGTTAGGAAAGGAAAAATAGGATGTGTGAGACAAAATTTTTTTTTTAGATTAATAGACTCCACTTTTAAAGCTGAATTGAATGGTGGTAAGTTTTTTAAAATCCAATGTGTGAATCACATAATATTTCAAAAATTTTAACTTTTGAGTATAGATGATCCGCACTGTATATTCATAATAAAATTTTTTATTGTGCGATTTGGTTAATTTTGATTGGTGGAATTTTGTAATTTACCAATAATTTTTCGAAATTCCCTTATTCGAAAATGTGGACAGTTTAAGGGATAGTAAAATTGTTGAAGATTTAGATAAACTTTAAAACGTAAAGGCTCAATAACCAAGCAAGTTGTGGGAATAATCTTTGCTCAATTGTATTTCCAAACACTCAATTAATAGCCTATCAGAGAGTTTTTTTCATTTATATTAGTAAAGAATTTTTTTGTAAAGGTTCAAAGTTATCAATTTTGTTGATTTCACTATAAAATGAAATTTAGATAAACTTTAAAATCTAAAGGCTCAATAACCAAACAAGCTGTGTGAATAACCATTCCATGATTGTATTTCCAGACACTCAATTAATAACCGATCAGAGAGTTTTTTTAATTTTTATTAATAAAAAATTTTTTGTAAAAGGTTCAAAGTTGTCATTTTACTATTAACAATGGAAATTTAGATAAATTTCAAAATCTAAAGGCTCAATAACCAAACTAGCTGTGGGAATAATCTTTCCACGGTAGTATTTCCAAACACATAGTTAATAACCTATCAGAGAGTTTTTTTCATTTTTTTTAATAAAAAAATTTATTGTGAAGGTTCAAAGTTATTGATTTTGTTGATTTACTATTAACAATGGAAATTTAGATAAATCTCAAAATCTAAAGGCTCAATAACCAAACTAGCTGTAGGAATAATCTTTCCATGATTTTATTTCAAAACACTCAATTAATGACCGATTAGAGAGTTTTTTTCATTTTTATTAATAAAAAAATTTTTTGTAAAGGTTCAAAGTTATCAATTTTACTATTAAGATTTGCTTTGACAATCCTCCTTTTTTAAGGAAATGTTAAAATGTTATTAAATTAATATTACAAATTTTATTTTGTATAAACTTTCAAGTTTTAGGAAAATTTGTTCAAATAAAATTCCAAAATTTCACAGAAAAATAAGAGTAATTCAACAGGCTCGTCTAATCAAAAAAGAGAAAATTTATGCTCCAATTGAAAAAGAAAATAGTTTACCCATAGATCTTGACAATTCATTTATAGTAACCAATGATTCCTTATCCAGAGATATTTCTCCATCCCAAGATGTCTTTGATTCAATTTTCCAAAATGCATCAAGTGTTTACCCACAAAATATTTTAGATCACCCATCTGTTAATGTTATAGACCACAATAATATGGCAGAACTTAATACTAAGACAAAGCAAATTAGAATTGAATTAATCAATAAAATAAATAATTTAGATGAAAAAGAATTAATTGCTTGCTCCCAATTGTTTGAAAACATGAGATATCCAGATGGTACACATCAAGGTGAGATTTTGTCCCCTTATTTGCAAAAAAAAAGCCATGGAATGGGTCCTAATAACTAAAGACAAACATCAGAATAATGAATCTGAGATAAAGGAAATTAAAAAATTAAAAAAAAAAATTGAAAATCTTAATGCATATAAAAAATCATTTGCAATTAAGGTTGCTAGGCAAGAACAAAGAAGAAAAACTTATATTTCCCAGACCCGTTCTCTTGTTAGTAAAAAAAAGTCAATATCAAATAAAGTCTTTCAAAGTGTTGTAGCAAAAAAATTCAAAGCAAACAAAAATGCTTACACACCTGTAGGGATGGGGCAGCTTGGTTTGGTTTGGTTTGAAAAAGCGGTTTGAAAATTACACAAGATCTTATCGTGTGACATACGTGATAAATAACATTGTTATAATTAAGGTGTGACGAATAAGAAGCTAAAAAAGCAAAGATTTTCAAATAGTAAATACTAATACCGGATTATATTTATTTACTAATACTAATATATCAAGAAGGAAATTGACAAAAATTATAATAGAGATATTGAACAAAGAAAAAAAACTATAAAATAAAGAAATAATGGACCGGAAATAACCAATTGTCACATAAAATCCAATAAAATCCATTGATCAATTGTTTAATATTAATGAAATAAAAGATTGAAAATCAGACCCTTTTGTCATTTGGGTATATTAATATAGAATCGAAAAGAATTGTAACCTATAATGACTCTTGCCTTTTCACCATTTTGTAGTTTTGTCATTTTTCTAATAATATAAAAAGGTCAACTATTTCCTTGTGGTTGAAGCAATATTTTTGATATAATAAATACAAACTTTATAATTGTTGCAACAATCTTGATCTTGATCAATTGGTAAAATAATTCTAGTCGAAATTGGCAATTAATATATACTAATACCATATTTGGTAATGTAGAGAAATTCATCTTTTTAAATTCACTATTACTAATTTGGCAATCGGGATTATTTGCGTTTTTCTTTGAAGAATTATGAATATTATTGTCCTTAAATTATTGATATTTTTTAGGAGTGTTGGCGATGGTGTACAATGATTATTAATTATTATTATTATATTATATTTATTTATGAATGTTATCTTTATGATTAATATTTTCCAGGAAGTCTATAAGCTCCCATACAATATAGAGATTATTTATTTGTATTTTATGAATGTTATCTTTAAGATTAATACTTTCTGGGAAGTCTATAAGCTCACATACAATATAGAGATTATAATTTTATTTCTTTCTTTCATGATCTATATTTGTATTTTAAGAATTGTAATTTTATTATTTAAAGAATCTAAATTTGAATAAAATAAAGATAACTTTTAATTTAACAACAATTAAATTACCTGTCCATTAATATTGTTAAAATAATTATAAATCATATTGCTTTTTCTTTCAAAATTAATAATTATATAATATACTTAGGTTACCTTTTTTTTTTTTTGAAATGGATGAACAAACTTTTAATAATCAAGAAATTAATGACTACTACCACCAAGAAAATTTTAATAGGATGAATCTTGATTATTTTACTAGTCAAGTTTTTGGTGATGCACAATCGGAAATAACAGACTCCAGTATCTCTGTTACCTCATCAATGCCATCATCAACATCAAATCCTTTATGGCAACATTTCAATAGGAATTCATCTGATGCACGACGCTATAATGTTTGTAAAAATTGTTCAATTAAGTATAAATTAACAACAGGTACTACAACACTTCGTAAACATCTCAAAGACCAACATCAAATAGACATACCTGTTAGGATTGTTAAAAAACAAAGAACAATTACTGAAATCGAACCTTTTGATGAACAAAAACAAATGGAACATACTAAATATCTTGTTCAGTGGTTAATTTGTGATCTTCAGCCTTTTACCACTGTTGACAACACTTATTTTAGAGCATTTGTTAGTCACTTCTGTCCTCGTTATACTATGCCTGAGCGACACCAAGTAAAGGATCTTATAATTGGTGGATTCAATAGTCGAAGAACAAAAATTGCTAATGAGCTTTATCAAATTGAGGGTCAATATTCATTGACGGCTGACATGTGGACTTCCATGAATAGAGATGCCTTTTTAGGAATAACAATACATTATATAGATTCAAATTGGAAACTCAGCAACTTTCTCCTTGATATCATCCCTTTTACCACTAGACATACTGGTGAAAATATTGCTGGCGAAATTAAACGTGTTTTAGATGAACTTAACATTTCTGGTAAAATCATTGCACTAACAACAGATAATGAATCTGCAATGATTGTGTGTGGAAGAAGACTTGCCGAATCCCTTGATAGTCAACTTTCTTCAATGACATTCTCACATTATCGTTGTGCAGCACATGTTCTAAACTTGAATGCAAAGCAAGGATTAGAGCTAGTTAATAATTCAATTAATAAAGTAAGTGAATTAATGGGAAAAATTAAAACTTCAACTCTCCTCAGTGATCAACTTCGCAGTTTTTGTAATTTAAAAGAGATCTATAACTATAAACCTGTTTTGGATGTGGAGACCCGTTGGAACTCTACATACTATATGTTAAAACGTTTGGAGCAACTTGAACCAGCACTGGTTTTACTTGCTGCAGATAATAACAACATCAAAAATCTTTATCCTAATGAAAATGATTGGATTATAATTAGGGTAAATATTAGTGTTAATAATTTTTTTTTAAAAAAAAAAAACTTCACAAAAACAGGCAACATTAATAATTAATACCTGATATCTTCATCATATTTATAGGATACTATGTTACTTCTTGAACCCTTAGAAGAAGCTACAAAGCACCTTTCAGCATCATCATATCCAACAATGGGTGATGTTTGTTTAGTCTTTGAAGGTATCCAGGTGTATTTAAATGATCAAATAAGAGTGGAAGGTTTCACACAGGATGAAATGGCTTCTTCAATACTTGAAAAAATTGAAAAGTATTGGCAAATTATGGATCGTTCTTCAATCATTTCAGCAATCTTAGATCCTCGAACTAAGCTCACGAATTTTTCACAAGAAAACCATCAAATGGCTTGTGGACACATTCGAACAAAATTTGAAACATACCAGAGGCACTCTCCTAACACACAATCTCCTGGAAGAAGACTATCATCATCCACCACCACAAATACAACTCATCAATTTTTCACTCAACTTCGATGTAATCAAACTACACCACAGATTGCTCCAACACATTCAGTATCAGAGTTAGATCGCTATCTGGCATTACCAATAGATGATGAAACAGAGCCTCTATTATGGTGGCAGGCACATGCAAAAGAATATCCAGTTTTAAGTAATATGGCATGAGATTATCTCACCATTCAAGCAACTAGTGTTCCGTCAGAAGAGGCATTCTCAATTGCTGGAAATACTACATCAGGAAAATGCTTTTGAAATTATACATAGATCCTACATGTAAATAGCATATAAACACCATATCATGATTTGTATATGATTGACATATGTGTGGCTTTTGCATAACGTGATTTGCACATTATATGAATAATTCTTATGTATTATATGTGTAATTAATTACACCTATAATATCTGTGAATTAATCCAGTATTGTACATATAATTCTCATATATATATCCTTCCATGTCATGATTTGTGTATTATACATATAGTTCTTATGTGTTATAAGTATAATAAATTATATCAATATCACATGTATAAATTGCATATATTTTTAAAATTCAATGTAATAAAAGGCAGAATTATATAATTTAATATTTACTGATAGTAATGTAAATATTTAAATATTTAAACCTTACATTTATTTATTTAATTTTTTGAAAATACAAATATTTATGTATTGGGAAAATTGATCTTCAAAAATGCATACAATTGTAGGGATTAAATGAACAGTTGTTTGATCATTGTACATATTTAAAGATTGAGTAATATAAATAAGAATCATATATGTTAAAAAATAAAATGATAAATAAATAGTTTGCATTAGTAGTAAATAAATAATTAATTAATTGCAATAAATTTCTTGCCATGTTGACATTAGTATATGTTAAAAAAACAAATGATTAATAGATAAATAAATAAAGAAAAATAAAATAAATCATTGGTAAGTAAATGAAATGATTTTGTGTTAATAAATAAATAAATAGTTATAATTGGAGAAAATAAATTCAAATTTCTTAAAATATATGTATATGATAAAAAGATTAGTATAAATCATTAGTAGATGAATGACATGGAATAAAATAGTTTGTTAGTAATAAATAAATAAATAAATAATTAATTAATTATAAATTCTAATAAATTTCTTACCAACATTGACATTAATATATCCATTAAGATATATGTTAAAAAAATAAATGATTAGTAGATAAATAAATAAAATAAAAAAAAATAAATCATTAGTAAGTAAATGAAATGATTTTGTGTTAATAAATAAATAGTTATAATTGAAGAAAATAAATTCAAATTTCTTAAAATATATATATATGATAAAAAGATTAGTATATAAATAAAAGAAAATATGAATATAAATCATTAGTAGATGAATGACATGGAATGAAATAGTTTGTTAGTAATAAATAAATAAATAATTAAATAATTAATTAATTATAAATTGTAATAAATTTCTTACCAACAACATTGACATTAATATATTCATTAAGATATATGTTAAAAAAAATAAATGATTAATAAATTATGAAAATTAAAAGTAAATCATTAATAGATTAATGAGATGGAATGAAATAGTTTGTGTTAGTAGTAAATAAATAAATAGTTATAATTGGAGAAAATAAATTCAGATTTCTCCCACGTTGACACAAATATATTCATTAAGATAATATGTTAAAAAAATAAACAATGATAGTAGATAAATAAATAAATTAAGAAAAATATGAATATAAATCGTTAGTAGATGAATGAAATAATTTGATAGCTGTTTCAATATTTTTACCTCCTGTAAGATTACATCTAATATAATATACCTTTTATTGCATGTGCAATCTATATAAAAAAACTAAGAATTTACTACCTTTGTATTTATTCAGCAATGGAGATGATTCTGGCAAGCATTGAAATATCTTTGAACAACTAATGCATCATTTGGTGATGATTATGATGTTGACAATGGTGCTGAAGATAACTCTGGTGTTGGATCAGATGATTGTAGTGATGGTGAACACACATACCAAAAATTCCCTTGCACAGGTCTCAATGATTTGATATGATATTTCCATGATTTTGCCCTCTAATGAACTGAGATGTGGTAAATATTTGTGCAAAAAATTCCTAAAAATGCTTCTAATACACCTTTATCATCAATTTGTTTTGTTAAATTATTGAGATCATATATCATTAAT